GTACAGGGACCATTTCTCAATTTCTCTCGGGTAAATCATTTAACTTTCTGAGTCAGTTATACGGACACCAGCTGAGTCCAACTGTCTATGATCCACTGCAGAAATGCCTTATTCATCTATGTAACTTACCGCGCGTGCCAGCTCACTGTGTCTTTTTATATGATTAGTGCTCAATAACCGAATCGGATACCGTGCAATATTCAATAATTCCTGTATAAATCAGTCAATTCCGTGCCACTGAGTGTTCACCAAGGCCTAGTGAGCAGCAAACCGGTGATACTGCGCTCATTGTGAAGAAGGGTAAATTCTGAGCTAGACGTAATTTAGTTTCCAAGTAGATGACAAAGGGAATCGCCTATCGTACTTTCTATGACGTTGCAATCCTTGTAATACAGTGAAAATGAACCCGGAATTTATTGGGATTTGCCACCAGCACATTCTAATACTCACAGTTCCAGTATGTAGGAACGACATACTTTCGTTCTTTATGTCTCTTTCGGAACTTGGTGCTTAGTGTTCGGCTCTGAGCTTTGAGCTCCCGAGGAAGTCTGTCAATTTTGTTCAGGCATTTAGATATTCGGAGTTGTCTGGTGGCATCAGTTCTTCTTCCACTGGTCCATCGTAGTTTGGCTCTGGTGTTTCGTGTCCCTTCATGCGATGAAGATGCCAATCTTTACGATCAGAAGCACGGTGCAAAACCGTAATGATATCGGTTCATGGACTCTGGTGAGCGCTTTTGTGTCTATATCATTGGCTTTCTGGATGATGTGATGGGGTCGTCAAGTCTTGTGATCTGGTCCGGAGTTTTCCTCTGGCGTCGTTCTGTGTCAGACGTGTTGATCATTAGTTTTCCGAGGCTCTTTAGTCATCGTAAGACGGTGGTTTGCCGCTGCCTAAATGATGAAGTTTCTCCTACTTTCCTAAGTTCAGTTCTTGTGGGAGGGATTTTTTCTGTGGGTTCTTAAGTCCAGATTTTAAACTGAGCAGATTCAGGAAATGTGCTCTGCTGGAAGTTTCGGAGTCAATTTGTGAAACTCGCCCTCATATATGCGTGAATCGGGTTAGCAGAATAGGGTTGGGCAAGGTGTATTGGCTGGATGTTGCTGACGAAAAGGAGCGTCTGGGATATATGTACGCACACAACACAAAATGGCTGAAGCCCAATTCAGATAACCCGGGACTAAATCACATCGCAGACCATTCAGATCTGAACTCATGAAATTTCTGGACATCATTGCCAACTCGCCAATGAAAGTCGAAGGAAAGCTCTCCAGTGAACCAACGAAAGAACTAGACGTGAGAGATCGAAAACTATCAGTTTTCTACGCTCGCACTATCGATATTGGATGTCGGAAGCCAATCGAAGGTGCGGCTCAGTAATCTGAATTCACTGGCGGTCCGTTGGAATATTAGGCTGCAAAGACCTGTAAACCACCATGAAAGGGCAGTTTTTCTAATAAAAACGTCCAGTTGAGTGGCACTATCACCTTCATTTTCGTTGACTCCTTCAACAACTCACTCGTGTTTGATAAGGTATCGGGAGATGTGATGATCCTTTCATAGGATGTAAATTTAAATAAAGCGCTGGCATCTTTCATTCAGAGGGAAAACAGATGGCCTCTGACTTCGTTCAGGTCTGTTATGTCGGTGGCAATGAAGGAATCAAAGTGAATATATGTTCACCCGAACCTGAAAAACGAAAGGTATGCTTTTTTTAGCCGAAAGTCTCGTTGAAGATAAATGGAATGTATGTACTGCCTGAGCACGCTAGAGAAATTACCGAAGTATGTAATCATAGGCACACTGTGGACAACGAGCTTGATTGGGTTGATCGGCCCCGAACTTATCGGACTGTCCAGTTCTTCCAAACAAGAACGGCTGAATGCTGTGTCATCACCTGTTGTCAGTCGCAGCCTATACCAGCTGGCCCTGCTGCCACAATTAGGCCTTCGCATGGTTCAAACTCAGTCCACACCAGGGGACCTACACTCATGCCACTGACATCCTCTGACTATAGAGTTGTCAAAGTCATGCTGATAGTGTAGCACTTCCGCAGCTTTACAAAGAAACCCATGATTTTTTAGGTGTTACTGCCCAAAATGCTGAGCAACATATCGCGAAGGCTAGAATTATGTGAGTTGTAAGCGGAGCCCACTTCCAGCCTAAGCCTTCGGTGGATTACCTTCTCAATCTACTGAGTGGGTCGCACTGCTTAAACTTCAAGCAGTTGTTCATATGCAATCAGCCTTAGATGGCGTTCAGAAAAACGGCACAACGAGCGAAAGATCCTATACGGGAATTTTAAACAAATCTTTTTCTGATTTGACAGCCTGAAATTCGTGACTTTGATCCTCCTTTCCCCACTTTCGGAGGACAAGAACCATCTGGGACACTGGTGAGAGTGAGGCCTAATCATAACACAGCATGTTAGGTAACATAGAACGCTCACTTCACCACACGCTCCAGCTAAACTCCACCAATAGTAGGGGGCAACACTGGGAAGCTAGAACTTATGAAATATAGGAGGAATACCAGGCGCTACTTCTACGCTCCAAGAGTTGCTAGGGCTTGAGGTGCTCCCGTCATTGAGATTGTTTAAGCCACGTCACGGAATTTCTTCAGATACAGTCCTCGAATCATCAATGAGATACAATATGTAAACAATTCATGCATACATTCCTTCACAAACTTTTCCTCATTATCCCAAGCAAAAAGTACGAACTGTTACAATGGAAGTATTAGCTTCAAGCTTTATTTTTCTCCAAGTAATACCTGCAGTGTCTAGATACAAAACTGGTTTTTTTGTTGATGCAAGGACAATACTTCCACTTGTCCAACTTGTAAATTTTCTGCACACATTCTGTTGGGGTGTTCCATTACATGAACATGCAGCACTTATATCTTCTAGTGACAACGGACAGGGATTCAGATTACCTTCCATGAAGATGAATGTAATTAGTCCATAAACTTATTCATATCTGTAAAAATAGTGTGCCTGCATATTCAGGAATAAATACTATTATTATTTACTGTTTACATGGAGTCTCAGAGCAAACCTACTACCTAAATTAATGGTCCATTTTCGTTCTTTAGCCGCCTACATTTATGTCTAGGTTCTCAAACCTGCGAAATAGTGGTCTGCTACTTCTGAATGTCATGGGTTCTTTAATTTCGTCACCGACCACCTGAGGGCATATACCAACCACACTGTTGTGGGACGTATGGAACGTATCCGTCAAAGTAAACAAACATCTGACCGCCATCTGAGCTTAACCAACCTACCGGAAAACGATCATTTGTGAACAGATATCCTCCTGGTCCGTAGGAACATTGTTGCAGGTAGTAGGCTTAAGAGTAAGATTAGAACTCACAGCTCACTGAACCAATAAAGTTAAACTGCAAACGAAAGAGGAGAAAAAAGTGAATTGGCGACTTAGTAAGAACAAATAATACACTCACGCTTAGTAACTACAGAAAATCGCCAAACGTTATCATTACACAATGAGAAGATAAGGCTATCTGGAGATCTAAATTACAAGAAGAATGAATAAGTTTTTGAAGCGGACGTCGACCATGATAACTGCTAATGATATTCCACCACTGGTAGGCCCATCAGAAGTCAATAAGCAACATAAGCTCCCTTCATTATAGGCTACGGAACTTTGTATGAAGTCACTGCGCTGTTAATGGCTTTTCTGAATAAAAGCTGATCATGTTGCTTACATATGCTAAATGCGACCAGCTGAATCAAACTGACCGCTTGAATTCAGAATGCCAGACTGCCAAAAGTGGAGCACAATTCATCACGTTACATCTCGTGTATGCTTTTTGTTTTGCAGACAAGCCTCTGGAAAGTAGTGAGGATTGTTGTAGGTCTGCTTTGAGAGTTGTGTGAAGTTAAAACATGTGGTTCAAAAACCAACTTTTCATACCAGCAGAAAAATGTGGCTATTAGCCATCTGAGAATGAAACATCCACACGATTGCACTCAGGTAACAACGCGTTGGTCGACAGGGTAACAACGGGGACGGATGGTTAATTTATCGTGTGCCTCCAAAGTCTCAACAAGTATCACCGGTGCTATAACAACTGATCATAGCAAAGTATAGATAGTTTGGTGGAACAAACCCTGAAGTTCACTGAGATTCGGAACAGAAGCACGATGAAATCAAGACACATAGATGCCATAACAATAGCCAAAAGTGGTAGTTTTGTCGTCCAAAACCCACCTTCCACCCCAGGTTCGAGTGGCGAATGTCGTTCTTAAATGAAAACACCTCTTCCATTGACTTCAGTAGTAAGTATTCTCCTATGGGATGGCTGTAGAAAATACGCTTACACGTCAGTTGCAGGGAGGGCAACTCAAAAAGTGTCTGGAAAAGGATACCTGGCTCAATCTAAAAGCGGTCGACTGAAGGCGAGTGTTCGATTTGGCACGAACAAACTGCTCTAGAATACGGCATAATCGAGTGTGAAGTGACGAATAACAGGCGCTCTGTGTACCACAGGAAAACTGTAGAGAGTGACATGTCATAAACTTACCATTGACAGGGTCAATAAGACCATACAGGCCAGCAACAATTTTGATAAAAGTCGAACGTTTGGATATTGATCTTGGGAAATCGTTAGCGTTTACACTTCTGTGACGAGAGAGTGAAAGTATTTGAACGACTACATCTGGGGCATACTTTCATAGTACTTTTGTAGCGATGAGGTCGGCATTAGAGAGTCTTGGATAACGCATACGTAGTCAAAATAAACGACTGCAATAGACTTGGAGGATTTCAGCAGATGCTGGAACTGTAACACTTAAGTTTAGAATGCGAAAAAGCTGTTCTCAGTAAGCGCTTTCGAAATCTGGAACTATTTCACAAGCGGTGTCATCTCAGTTGATTTTTTCACAGTCTTCAAGAAAGACTAAACGTTTGACTTGATATTGTACGACTGCGTAATTTGAAAGTGGCGTTACTCTATGAATGCTACTTAATGTATGGTAACATATGCGTCGAAAATACCGACTAGTAGTTCTTGGTAGTGGTGGAGTAGGAAAAAGCGCTTTAACAGTGAAATTTGTTTCGGGAAAGTTTGTAGAGAAGTATGACCCCACAATTGAAGATTTCTACCGTAAGGATATCTTGTGAGTTTAGCAAAATATTTTTCTGGTATTGGTTTGTAAATCTTGAGGGCACCTGTAGGTGCATTCACTTCTCTCAACTCTTACAATTATTGATATGCAGAGAGGTTTGCACATCTCTCTGTTTCCATTGTAATGAAGTGGTTTTGTCTGACTTCTAAAATTGATGGGTTTCTCATATCAGGCCAATGGGAACTGACTTCGGCTTAAACAAAGCCAAAACTGAATAAAGTGATGAAGAATACCATTTTGCGCTTTTGCAATACCTCACTATCAGGTTCATTTTAGTAGGAATGTTTCAAATCGTTGTCATGTGTAAGAGGATAAACGTCGTGTGAAATGTAATTTTAGGAAAATATCTCAAGTTCGATACTATCTTGTCCACTTTACAAACTGTATGGTGTACTTGCGGAATCATACCCAAAGCTTTTTGTAGGTGAGCGAATATCCCGACCTAGCAAGGGTGCGAAATGATGTGAAAAATTATTCTTGTTCCTATAAACAAAAAAAAATCAAAGCTTTGAATCGATTAGTAGCAGTAGTTCCAAAACAGCGCCTCATTTGCTGCGTCTTTACGTGTAAATGTGTTCAGGTAGTGTAATTTCTGCCTACCAGATATCAGGCAGGAAATGTCAAGCCGAATTTTCCACAGTACTTCTCAGCAAACAGGCTTGTTTAGGCTCGTGGTTTTGGTGATAGCAAGTGAAGCCAAGCTGTCTACATTTGGTAAAGCCACCTGTTTATCTACTAAGTCATAATTTAGTTCTAAACATATGATGTATTGATGCTTCTGCATTCAGAAAATATCTTGATGTTAGTATTGAGTTCTTACCCACAAGCAGTGAACAGAATTGTTTCTCATGTTTAACAGCTTTCTTGTTTCATTTTGGTTTTGCTAGTTCTCCACTGAAAAAGAGGAAAAGTCTCATTGAGTCATAAAAAAGTAAAAAATACGATCCAACAAAGGAAAGTTTCTTTTCGGTGGTATCACTTACTGAAGCTATACAAACGTATTTATAAGTAATTTAAACAAATAACTGTCTACTAATAATTCATGTAATTCCGTAACTGTTCAAGAGTAGAATTTTTCATTCCCTTCAAACTGAAGTAGGTGAAATTGTTCTAAACACCTATTCAAGATACTTAGAGTTCTTCGAAGTTTGTATTACCTAATCAATGAGCCAGTATGGTGATCACCACTGACGTCTTCCAATGTTCTTATGTAAATTTGTATGAAAAGTTGTACGTAGGGTTACCTGCAGTAATTCCACCTAACCGTTTACAAAGACTACGAACTTGGTGAAAGTTTGAGCAAATGATGGAACATAAGTTGAATTGGGATTGCAACTCACTAACCTATAGACTTGGTTTTCAGGGGTCTTGGTGTTCTTACGGCTTATTATGAAAACAAAACCTGAATGAGCTTTTGGTACTGATTCTTCAGTGTTTATTGTTACTGGCAATTGTTAAACACCAGGATAACATATTAAGCTTTAAATGTTGTGTTGATTGAGTTAGCCTAGACATATTTTACTGATGTCGAACCACTACTTATCTGGAGTTAGAACGATGTATTGAATATGATTATGGTAAAAGTCAAGGGGATCGGGACAAAGCATATCGGACCTTTAAGTCAATGGTTGTTGATCTAAATCCTATAAGTTGTGTGATTGAGGTCAACAAAGCAGTACAAACTATAGTTTGGAGATCCTGAGCAACACAGCTGATAATCAGTCACATTTGCATAAAAGTATGTATTCGATGCCTTCCTCAAAATCGCGAATATATTTTTATTCTATATGTATCATTTTTCCCACTTGAATTTTCAGTTATTGCTATATTTTCTTCGTTTCTGTCTATGCTGTCTTTGCACTGTTATCAAGCATAGTAAATTCAACTATTTCACTTTTATGTAAAAACCTGCGTTTTCTGTTTGGTACTCGGGAACGCTAGTCGGATGTCATGCGTATGAGCCGAACTTACCTTGATAACTAATTCTCCCAGGGATATTTAGTGGAAGTATTTTGTAGGCTTCTCTCAATGAGAAGTATTCTGCCAATGGTTTCTATAAAAAATATATGATACGTGATTCCCTGGTCACCTAAGGGAATCAAGTTAGAGATCTGATCAGTAATCGCCTTCGCGTGTGTATAGTAGGCAACAAGCTAGATCTTTTGTGTGAAGGTCAACGGTACTACGTGTATTTTCAAACTGTGGTAGGATGACGTGGAGTTTGCACCCGTGAGCCACTGGTTGAAAGTCAAGTGCCTAAGCCAGTGAACTACACCTCTACAATGTATGTTTCATACTACTTGGGCAGTTCTGTACCGGGTTTAGTTACATTTTTTAATTTATGCAGTTAGCGGGAGGGTCTGGACCTACGTTTTGTTATTTTTGGCACTCGTCAGCAAGATGCTTCTTTAACGTTGATGAAACTGATGTTCTTTTAGAGACTTAAATCCGTCACCCCACCCTGTTCTAATTCTGTTCATTTTTACTCAACAATTCGATCTGCAACTGGAAAGTGACTTGTTTCTTGTTTAGCCTCGAGTGCTAGTTAAATTTATTTTGTTAAGTCTTCAATATAGCCACTTACCGGAAGCTACCACTAGATGCAAGTAATCCTACTACAACAGCGGTGATAAAACATTAAGTCTTCGGAAATCCTTAGGTAAATGAAATCTCTTCCTGCACGAAGACATAAAACTAATCTTATTTGTTGAAACTATACATAATCTCAACTTTTTATTCAGCGCCAAATATCTGCCGTACTATTTGGTTAAATCTTGATCATAGTTCATATACAGTGTTCTAATAGTTTAAATTGCTGAGTAAAACTCTGGTCTTCAGTGCTCAAAGATTGATTTCATCTGTCACACTAACAACACATATTATCACATTGACTTTGGAATTAGTACCAATGTTCAACCGTCAAGTGTGAGCGTAAACGTGCTCTTGTTCATCTTGCCAGAGTCAGTCAGACAGTATTACCATAGGGACTGGAACGACTATGTAATAGTCCAATTTGCCACGTATACCAACACATCAGGTGAGAATGCACCGGTGGGGGGGGGGAGGGGGGAAAAGACGAAGGAATAAATTAGAAAGCTGTGAAAAGTGACAAAAAGTCGTCGGGAGAGAGCAAAGAAGGGTGGGATAATACTGAAATTCGGTATAACGATCAAGATGAAGATGGTGTGCGGATACATCTGTACCACTGAGATCGATCCCAAGTCGTTTCGTCCAGAGTCCCCGACCACCGATTTCTTTTGGTACAACTAATAGAGCTATGTCATCTGCGTTTTCTAGATCTGCTAAGGAATCTCCTGTGATAAGATCAATCCTAGTTGAGCCAGACGACGATAGGGGACCTGTGTGACAAAGTTGAATAAGAATGGAGAGTGGATGTCCTTGGTGGATATCACTCGGTGTGCACAACTTACCTACCTGACAGCTCACCATAGGCTTTAACACGCCCACGGGTGTCTGAATTCATAGACCTCAACAGAGTGATATACATACTCGATACTCTTCAGTGAGACATTGCTGTAAGACCTCACGGTCAACGGAATCGAGTCCCACCTTCAGGTTGAGGAACACAGCTAGTTTTGGGCGTTGGTGAGTGCGCCTGTGTTATGAAACCTTGTGAACGGTGAATATGTGTTCAATGCACTCACGACGATGTTTGAAACTTACCTGGTTTTCTCACGTTTGCTGTTGTTGATCTCCATTTAGATGTCTGATAATTATAGAACCTATAAGCTTAGACACTATGGTCGTCAGACTGATTCCCCTGTGGTTATGACAAGAGGATTTCTGACCATTATTGAAGACTGGGACAATCAGTAGTTGAGACTACTCAGATTGGGTAGTGTTTGGTTCCCATACGCTAACAGGCACTTTAGTTAGCCTGACCAGTAATCCACAGTCACCATCCTCAATTACCTCCGGTACTGGGGGGCATTCAGTCACACTGCTCATACTTGTTTCAGGTAACTTATAGCTCTCTCGACTTCCGTAAGTGTTATGGTTCGTGTCTCAATGTTCCACTCAGGATTGGACTAGGTAGTGGGCAACGGATCGGTCGGTGGAGGCTAGCTAGACGTTTTCATCGTTATATTCCTCTCTATTGCTCCCTCTCTACTTATTCTCACTAACCATTAACCCTTTGATTGCAGTTACTTTGGCAGTTCTAAATAGCCATCTTTTACCTATCACCCCATTCCTTTTCATCTTTGTAGCCTTCGCTTACCACCACTCCTCGCGGCCATTGCATAGACTTCTCATCGGTGTATATTTGAGCTTCTTCCGCTCCTCATTGTGCGCGTAGCCTGCGGGAATGCGTTCGCTTGTATCCATTAGCTCATAAGTAGGTGTTGAGATCCACTGACCCTTTCGAACCATTTCCTAGGAATCAGCTACAGTCTGTAAGGCTGTTCATGTAGCAGACTAGAGATGGCTCCAAGCTTCTTCCCGATGAGTGATATTGTCTGGTTCTAATAGCTTTCCAGTCCATTCTACGTTAAAAGCAACCTGATTATTAGCATAGTTAAAATGTCCTTGAGATGGTCTTATTGGTGTAAGATTGTTAACGTCCATTCTGGTACAGACAAATGTCTGCTCGGACCAAAGCGTGGTCCCTGTGCAAGCATGTGCTCCGGAAAGATTTTCACTCTTCCAACTTTTCTACAGCGATAACTGATGGCATTGTGGTTTGGCTGTAGTTAGCGGACGCCACGTCAGTCATTGCTTCTCTGTGTTTGTATTTCGTTCTATTTAGAAGTAAGTGGTTGTCTGAACACACTTGTAGCAGGCGATCACCGTTATCTCTTCGTTCGGTTACGATTTCGAGAATGTCACTTAATAACCGTTTTATCTGACGTAACTTACTCACTTGGATATTGAAATCACCTGCAACAACTACCATGTTTGGAAGTTGGGCTTTCAGTAAGAGGCTAGATAGTTCTCGGTAAAACCCATTCTTCATTTAGTATGAGCTGCACTGAGTCTATGCGTAATCTGAAACTACAACGAAAAGAGAGCGGTGAGTTTCACTATTCTTTTACGTCCTCACTGTGCCATTCAGTCGAACAGCGCATGAGCGATTGTCAGCTGTGGTCCAATGTATTAGTAAACTTTCTGCTTTAGTGCTCAGTGCTATACCTACCCCTGCAAGATCGCGAGAACTAGCCATTAGATCTCCAGAGTCTCGAAGAGTGAATTTTGCGGACTCACCATGTTGACCGAGTGAGGTTCGGTAAATAACCACACTTGTGTCCTGTATGTGTCTCCCACAAACACAATACATCCGTGGTGCTGGATGCTGTAGTTTCAGCTATCGAAGCTTGTTGACCAATTTAGTAGGACGGGGGGTACGGGGATCGGAAGCCTCAATGTGTGATTTGGAGTGCGGTTTCAGGAGATTAACAAAGCTATTGTGTGAAATGGAATTGTTATCAAGAGCGGAGTCAAGTTAGACATAGCGGAGGCATATTCATCGAGAAACTTAAGAAAAGAATCGAGGGTAGGGATATGGATGGTCGATAATAATATGAGGAAACTTGAGTGCTGTCAAAGTTGTGAGGGCAGTTGACACTTCTCACATACCCACAGTATGAAAGGCTATTTCCTCTTAAGCTGCCTGAAAAATAAGTAGTTAACACGTGACTTTGTGGTCGGAGTGACATCTACCTAAAGCCGATCTACACGCCGTTTTTAGAAGTTTGAGGTTTTAGTTTTTCTTTCCTTTCCAATCCAGCTATAAACTCAAGCAGCCGGCACTGGTTTACTTTAGGTGGTTGGGGTATTAGTAGGGGTAATGTACTATTTTGTGATCGACTTTTCCTAATTCCCGTTCTCCTTATAGGGGAAATAACACCAGTATGGCACTACTGGTCATCCGCTGGAAACACCTTACTGTCTTCACCCCGACCTAGTTATCAGCAAGAGTTCCCTCCCAGACCCCCAATCATTCCATAGAAATTTTCACTATAACGGTTACTGCTTTCTGTTTTACCACTATCCAACTGACCTTTCTGGTCTGGTAGAATCCTAAAATAACAAGCGACCTACCAGTTTTATCCTTTGGGCCATCATGATATGCAATTCCGACCACCACATCAAGGTAACCACTATCGGTCGAGACCTTGGTAGAATGTGTATTACTTAAGTGATACGAAACACGTAATATGCTGGCAGAAATTTTTCGACAAAGTTTGTATGATTTATTTGGCCTCTGCTATCGAATAGTGAAACTACATAATCTACATAGTGAGTCAGAGATTTTTGCTCTGAGTAAGGTATAGCTGTAACTCACTGGCCTAATTAGTTGACTTTAAACCAGTGGGTCGCAATTTTGAACTCCATACGACCTACTGACGTGTAGGTAGGTAGGTAGTATCACTAACTAATACAATACGTACCGCTCATCGTCTACTTCAGAAATATGTACATGGTTGTTGATAACACTTTTATGCTCTAATCAGGGTAAAAGATCGATGGCACCATTGTAGGAATCCTTCATGAATTTTCAAAGGAATTTTATCGTTGACACAGTCACAATAGCATGACAAAACCGAGTACCTTGCCTTACCCACAGGGAAGAGTTCCAAAGGACTAATGAACTTTACTCTCTCCTCATTCTCAGGCTATTTGTTAAAAGTATTGAAGTTTACCAACAGCAACGTAAGTCCGCTGTAGGAAAAGTGGTAAGGATAGTTGATAACCTACACCCGAAGTTTAACAAACGTCATCGAGTTTCTCCACTGCCATCCTAACTGATTAATGCGAGAAGACTGATTCCAACTGGTTTTGACCACAATGAAGCCCAAACAACCTAGACGTAAATTGATTGAGAGTCTATGTGATGGTTGTGAGCAGTAGTGAAAGCGAGAGAGGTGGAGAAGGCATCAGCACTAGGTGATACCCTGCAATTGTTTAGATTTATTGAGAATACGAGCGAAAGAGAAGATGGTGGTTAGTGAAACCGTCACGGAAAAAGATGGGACACGGATAACCCCTGAGATGAACGAATAGAAGGTTGGGCGGGAGACTTCGAAGCCGAGTCCAACTGGTCTACAGCAACACTTCAGTTGCCCCGCACCCAGCTCGTCCCTGAATGCGGCGTAGATGTCAGTCCTCCAAATCTCCCCGAAGTTGGAAAAGCTGTACTGAATCTTAAACTAAGAAAAGCAGCAGGACCTGACAGTTTGCCACTTGAAGTTTTCAAGGATGGAAGTAGGAAGTTGTCTATTCAAGTGACAGAGGTACTAAGTAATGTATTGGAATCAGAGGTAGTGCCGTCAGACTAGTGTACTTCACGAATCATCCGAGTCTATAAGAAGAGATAGAAATCTTGCGACAACCAAAGGGGAATTAGTTTGACTAATGTGGTGCTCAAAACCCTGGTTCCATTGTTATCGGACGCCTATCTGGAGCTGGAGAAAACCAAGCAGGTTTACGACCTGGAGGAGGGTGCATCGACCATATTTTTACCCTCAGACAGGTTCTGGAACACTAGTATACCTACCGGTCAGTGGCCAATACTTGTAATATTTCTTGACCTAAAAGAAGCATTTGACTTTCGACCATGAGCTGTTGTGACAGTGTCTGGCTGTGAAAGGAGTGCTGAGAAATATATGACGCTAATGAAAGCTCTCTACTCAAAATCATGCAGCCACGTGAGGGCATATGAAGAGTTGTCATGAGAACTGACCACAACTAGTAGTGTTTTTTTCAGGAATGTCCACTGTCACCGTTGCTATTTAACTTCATCATAGACGTACTAATGGTACATCTAACTTCACAGGGACTGACCTACTTCCTGGGGGTCATGTGGTTGACTTGGAATATAGAGACGATATTGTCCTGGTAGGTGAACACACTGACAATATGCAGGACCTTGTGAACGCGTTGAGGATAAATCTGAGTATTTTTGGGTGTATATCTCATGTGTCAAATGTAAGGTGATGCTCTATGTGTGGTCTAAAACTACTCTTCATTTGATGATAGTCAATGAAATGGTGGAATGTGTCGATTACTTCACTTTCTTGGGGAGTTACATCAGCCCGCGAAACGGGATAGCTGCAGAAGTCTCAGATGCATTCTAGAATACAGAAGGTCCGTTTGGCATTTTCCAACTTGTCACCGACTGGTGGGATATCCGACTACCCATCTAAAGACAACTATACTGCGCTGCAGTCCGTTCTGTTCTGTTATACAGCTGAGATATGGTCATTGAAAGTAGAAGGCATGAAGCGGCTACATGGTTTCGACCACAGATGTCCTCGTGTCATTGGTCTCGTTTGATGGGATCACCGCGTGAGCAATGTTGAGGTGAGGGGAAGGGTGCTAGGCAAAACAAGCAAGTCGGTTGATGAGGTTGTGAACCTTCATTGACTGCGATGGCTTACATATGTGTTGTTGATATTGAGCCACGGCCTACCTCAATGTGCAGTGGTAGGCTGGGGGGGGGATTTGGATTAGGTTGGAAGAGAGTTCAGGGTGACCAGACCAAGATGTGGCATCAGTCGATAAAGTCTCTTTTAGTTGGTTTGACCCGTGTTGGGAGATGTAAACTGTCTGACTAGGGTGCTGGAGATGATAGTAATCAGTGGTTGAGGACAGACTGTTGGTGAGATGGCTGAGAACCGATCATGGTGGTGCAGATGTATTCACTCCTTGATATCTAGTGCTTGGTTGTTCGCGCTAACCTTTGTCTTCAGATTGTTGATTCTGTCACAGAACTTTGTTTTCTTTCATATGAATGAGTCTTTTTCTATCGACGTGTTCTTTGTGTACTACTGTGAAATGTGGCAATTTGAATATATGCACCTGTTTGTGAGGTTCTACTTAGATTCAGTCAATTGGTTAATTCTTTTATGGACACAAAAAGTCGTAAACTACCATAACGTGAATCCATACCTATAAATGTACAAAATTTACTGTGGAAATTTAGAAATTTGGACTTTGTGACAATTCCGTATTTGTAGAAAGTGCTAGTAGTAGGAAAACAAATAATGATGCGATGATATACTAAATCTTAAAAATTTTCGTGTACAGGGTTGATGGCGTTCATCACACCTTGGAAATTCTGGATACCGCTGGGACCGAGCAGTTTTCTTCTTTAAGAGATTTGTATATACGGAATGGCCAGTGCTTTTTGGTTGTTTATAATCTTGCCAGTCGTCAAACATTCAGTGATATACGCAACATGAGGGATAATATATTGAGAGTTAAGGGTCTTCAACCTGGCTCTGTGAAATCTGTGCCCATAGTTCTTGTTGGAAATAAAGCTGATTTGGCACTAAACGGTCATCGAGAAATAGATCCCCAAGAGTCAGAAACACTTGCTGCTCAGTGGTGTTGCCCGCATCTAGAGACATCAGCAAGAGATGACGTTGGAGTGAATGAAGCATTTTTGGAAGCGGTGCGTCAGGTAAGTAGTACATTCCTCTTCAAGTTCCATGCAGCACTTGTTAAATTTCTTATACTTTCCGTATGCTTCTGATGAAAGACAGCTCTTCTTGTCCAGTTTAATCAAGACAAAGGTAAAATTACATAAACCCCATAGTACTTTGTAGGAATATATGTTTAAATTCTGAATGTTTCAGGAACTTTACTGTTTGAGACCTAATTTCAGGAAGCTGATTTGCCAAGTGTACTTAGATGCATTATCTTATTTGTAGTGCTGTGAGTTTAGAGTTGCTTTAAACTTGTACACAATACGCAGAACGTGCAGTGTTCCTACGCACAGTAGGAATAAAGTGAACATATCCGTGTAGTTCTGTAGGATGCTAATTATTATCCCTGCGTTGGTCTTCAGTATATTGTACACTCTTAGTTAGTCGTGTTGTTCATCATTGAATCCATCGCTGGTTGCATTCATGTTGTGGACTTCTGTAGCATAAGCAGAAATGGACGAAATGCATCTTTATTATTAAGTATCTAAACTAATTTAAGATTTGATGGTGTATAGAAAATTGGCTGTTGCGTAAATAACGGACTAATAGGAATATTCATCGAATTGTGGAGTTTCGGTTCCAGCGCTTATAAATATATGAACACAAAAAGCGGATAATAACACCATAAATTCTGTACATCAGCTAAAGTGAAATACCTTTTGGGTCAACTGATAGGGTTTTCTGGAAACATTTTAATAGGGCTTTGTATTTGCATATATCGAGTGCTGAATACATCGGTAGCAAGGTTTTCTAGTGTTATCGTTTGATCTGCCTATTGCCTTGTTAGCACCAACGTGAATTTTGAAGATGGTAAGCTTAAACAAGCATATTTTCAGGATAGTTTAGTTGAACTTTTTCGCACTTGATATCATCTCTAGCAACTCATAACAGTGCAGATGCATCAAAGTTCAGTGATAAGCAGCTGAGCCGAATAAAAGTAGTGATTGAGAAACCGGAACAATACAGTCATTCATTATATGAGTGTGGCAACTACTAAATGAATGATTTTTAGTTCAAAATTATATATATTACAGACTTGATTAGTAGCAAAAGAAATTCTCATTGCTTTTGACAAGGGTTAAGGTACTATTACCTCTTTTAGACCTAAGTAGATGGTTGTTTCATTGGTCTAGTCTCTGAGTTTTTGATCGGGGGCAGTAGAACAGGGTCAGCACTTAAACTTTTTTTTAGATCTGCCACTAACTCATTAACAATCCCAATGAAAGGCATCTAAAGATGACGCAGAAGAAAGTATTTTATTACGTGTAAGAATGCGAAAAATTTCGAAAAGAAACCTTCAACATCTAGTAATCAATTGTTATTTAGGCCTTTCAAAGATAAAGGCCAAAAACAATAGCTAATGAAACTACCACCGAGGAGAGCAGGTTGGCGATAAACTGTCAAGACTGGTTGCTGGAACGATAGATGGAACACTTTTAAGAATAGTTCGAATGATCTGTAGTCACATTTAGTTGCCAAATATCTAGCGTGAAATTGAGTGGGATGCAAACATCAGTCCTTCAAATTCTACTTAAGTTGAAAATGTTGTTTCATACCTAGTGCTGTGGGAAGTAGTAGAACCTGATAAAACACTACTAAACGGTTTTAAGGATGGAGGTCAAAAATACTGATAAGAGTAATCGGGGCACTGACTAGTATATGAGAATCATAAGTAGTTGTATCAGACTATTCTAGATCGTCGATCATCCCAGTTTATAAAAAGGGTGACAAATACCTGCCGGGTAAGCAAAGAGGAGTATGAGCTGTGTAAGGAAACGTAGACTTCCTGATTGATATCCTTGAAATAACAAAAATCGATGGTTGAGGACTCCAAGTGGTATTGCTAAAAATCGATCTCATTAAGGGCAGATGCGTCCAGACACTGTCTTCGTTTGGTCGTCATGCCGAATTCCATTATTGTCCCATTCTTTCTTTTTCTCTTCTCATAAATTTACTACTTTTAATTGCTTTCTTTATTTCTCCATCTTTCATCTTGATGCCTTTTACATTGATGCTGTTATTTGGGGTGTGGCAACTTGGACTGTCATGCAGTAATGTCAGGTCCTACGCTGATGCTGACTGACTGAGTCAGTTTGACTAATATCGTATCGAAGATCCAAGGGATCATAGTTACCTGGTGCCTATCTGGAGCTCGAGAGCTAAAAGGTTTTTTAAAATAATAATTAATAATTCTAATCGCTTTATTCCAGACAACATGTGTGATGCAGTGCGGAATTCCTAGCCTTTAGTACTTCAAGAGACTCATTCCCTGTACAATATTTCTAAATGAAATGTATATTGCACATTAGCCTCCTGTCTGGACTGTTGGGTGAATAGAAAATAAAGCGAAATTTTAGTGATAGTAGTTTATTCGGCCAGTACAGAAGTCTGCACTTCGAAATAGATATCCTAGGAATAGCGATGTACTGCATTTCTGTGTATTTATAAGTCTTTTTCTTACCGGAGTAAGGTTCTTCCTTTTTGTTGTTGGCTTGAAAAAACTACAGTTTGAAAACATTTTAAAAATGTGCCAATGTTCATGATGCATTTAAAATACATAGATGATTAAAAGTGGAAAGGGAAGAAATTTCTAGAATTATATTCAGTGAAAATTTTTTTGGTAGCCCAATTTTTAAGCAGACCGCTGGGCTTGAGAAAACAACAGAAATTTCAGGTAAAAACGGGCACACATGGATTAGATTTTCATCGATCGATAGGTTTTAGAACACAAGCATACTTATCGGCACCTGAAACTTGTCATATTCCTTAACCTGAGGGGGTATTGAACTCCACCGACTAAGAGATGTTGTGATAGTGTCTGACTGTGAAAGAAATATTCAGTTAGTATGCTACGCCAGTCAGATCTCTACTCGTATTGACATCTGGACAAAAGCTTAATGAGAGTTATCATTTGAAGTGACAACAACCATTGTTGTCCGTTAAGCATGTCTACTATCACTGTTTTATTTAACTTTTTTATAGATGTTCCGATGAATATAACTTAAAGTACCTCTGATTTCTTAAAGTTTAACTTACTCCTCAAAGGGAGTCTGGTTGACTTAGAGTATGCAGACGACAGTCATTTTAGGAATGTTTTCTGAATGCATTGAGCATAAATCGGACTGTATTGGAATACGTTGACCACTTCACTTTCTTGAAAAGTCACATCACTTTTGGGTTATTGACTAACGAAATCATAACCTGTAGTTAGGCGTAGAGTACTAAGCAAGGAAGGTATGTCAGTCAATGAGTTTATAAACCATCGACTGAGATGGCTTGGAGATGTGTTGCGCATACCAAGCCACTGCCTGTGTCAATGCGCGATGTTAACCGAAGTTGGATACGTTTAGAAGAAAACCTAGGGCAGGCAAACCAAGACGTAAGTCCGCTGTAGGAAAAGTGGTAAGGATAGTTGATAACCTACACCCGAAGTTTAACAAACGTCATCGAGTTTCTCCACTGCCATCCTAACTGATTAATGCGAGAAGACTGATTCCAACTGGTTTTGACCACAATGAAGCCCAAACAACCTAGACGTAAATTGATTGAGAGTCTATGTGATGGTTGTGAGCAGTAGTGAAAGCGAGAGAGGTGGAGAAGGCATCAGCACTAGGTGATACCCTGCAATTGTTTAGATTTATTGAGAATACGAGCGAAAGAGAAGATGGTGGTTAGTGAAACCGTCACGGAAAAAGATGGGACACGGATAACCCCTGAGATGAACGAATAGAAGGTTGGGCGGGAGACTTCGAAGCCGAGTCCAACTGGTCTACAGCAACACTTCAGTTGCCCCGCACCCAGCTCGTCCCTGAATGCGGCGTAGATGTCAGTCCTCCAAATCTCCCCGAAGTTGGAAAAGCTGTACTGAATCTTAAACTAAGAAAAGCAGCAGGACCTGACAGTTTGCCACTTGAAGTTTTCAAGGATGGAAGTAGGAAGTTGTCTATTCAAGTGACAGAGGTACTAAGTAATGTATTGGAATCAGAGGTAGTGCCGTCAGACTAGTGTACTTCACGAATCATCCGAGTCTATAAGAAGAGATAGAAATCTTGCGACAACCAAAGGGGAATTAGTTTGACTAATGTGGTGCTCAAAACCCTGGTTCCATTGTTATCGGACGCCTATCTGGAGCTGGAGAAAACCAAGCAGGTTTACGACCTGGAGGAGGGTGCATCGACCATATTTTTACCCTCAGACAGGTTCTGGAACACTAGTATACCTACCGGTCAGTGGCCAATACTTGTAATATTTCTTGACCTAAAAGAAGCATTTGACTTTCGACCATGAGCTGTTGTGACAGTGTCTGGCTGTGAAAGGAGTGCTGAGAAATATATGACGCTAATGAAAGCTCTCTACTCAAAATCATGCAGCCACGTGAGGGCATATGAAGAGTTGTCATGAGAACTGACCACAACTAGTAGTGTTTTTTTCAGGAATGTCCACTGTCACCGTTGCTATTTAACTTCATCATAGACGTACTAATGGTACATCTAACTTCACAGGGACTGACCTACTTCCTGGGGGTCATGTGGTTGACCTGGAGTATGCGGACGACATTATCCTGCTAGGTGAAGACGCTGAGAAAATGCAGGATGTTCTGAAAGTGTTGAGCATAAATCTGAGGATGTTTGGCATGCGTTTTACACCTGTGAAATGTGAGATGATGTTGCAGCATTGGTGTTCTGCAAGTAATTCCAGTTTTTAGTGATAGAGAGTGAAGTGGTGGAATACGTCGACCACTTCATTTACTTTGGAATTTGCATCAACCTGAATGGGTTGGTTGTTGACGAAATCTCAGAGGGCTTGTTTTGCATTTGCCAACTTGTTTCACCTGTGTTACCGACTGGCGAGATATCTGACTATCTATCGAAGGATGCGTTTACTGCGTTGAAGTCCGTTCTGTTCTGTTATACAGCTGAGATATGGTCGTTGAAAGTAGAAGGCATGAAGCGGCTACATGGTTTCGACCACAGAT